CCCGATGCGGGCCAGCCGGCAGAGGAGACGATACCGCACGGCACCCATTCAGCATTAGAATTCCACGACAAGCAGGTGGGCATCCGTCAAAAGCAAGCAACAAGATAGTTGGTAACTTGCAGTGCCTACCTCTGGATAAAGGCTTTTCAAAATCTTGCCGTCGACCACCAGATCATGCCAAGTCGACAACCACTCAAAAAAGATCATAATCATCTACAAACTTAACTGCACATTCGACATTTGTTGTTTGAAAGCGTCGATCCGACGCGGAGCTTTGCTTGACAAAGTCCAGCACTGGCGCCAAGCTGGTGTCGAGGCCGCATTGCGTCAATTGTTTCTGTTTTTCCTTGACGAAACTCGTGTATGTCACTTGCAAGGCCATTAGAGAATGAAAGAGACGTCTAAACGATTGAGTCTCTCTGTCAAGACGTGACTTGCAGAATGTGAAATAGCAATGGCGCAACTTTCATCACGGCAGCGAAATGTAAAGGTCCAACATCTTTTCAGATGGCTTTTGTCGAGAAGCTTCCAACATTGCTACAGCTTCTCCCAAGCAACCTTCTAGTTTTAGTGTCATCTAATCTGAACTAATCATCACTCGGCAACGTACATACTGACTAGATTAGACCAATCTTTTCACTAAAATTGGACAGGTTGCTCGCGAGAAGCTGTAAGTCTTACTGGCCCTAGCTCATTGAAGAGTTATAGTTCCGTGGCGGCGTCATCTAAAGAGCTGGGAAACACGTTCGGCTTTCACCAAGGATCTTCTATTCTCCCGTATTGTACTAACGTGACTTGCAGTGCTCACAAGCTACCTATGGTGGGTACTGGCCGATCGTCGATTCCGACTCCGACCGCCACGAAATCGACTTATCGCGTATTGAGTATCGTCAGTATCACCGGCGGTTCGCGTCACGGCGACTCAGGTTTATGTTACTCGGGCGGTACGAGTACTGAGAAAATTTTGCTGGGCCGTGAGTGAGTGTGAGGAAGTCGATAGACAGTGTCATATTTTACACTTTGAGAGCAGCATCAAATTGGCACGCGAAGAAGAGCCCTATGCAGCTTAAAAACACCTCGGACAAGCGAAAAAAAATGTTGGGAGAGCGTCATGGAGGCTCTTTTGAAGGTCCAGCATCATGTTATGTTGAGGACAAATCGGAACAAGCACCATGATAGCCGCAAAGTTGGCCGCCATTGCTTGCTCATGAAAAGCGCTATTCCCCACACTCCTGTTTCAACTTGTTGCACTCTTCTTTCAGATTAGGTACCGCAATATTCGACGGTGATTCGAGTCGGAAGTTCCGACCGAGACCATGAAATTCAAATTTTACGTACGGCCTGACTTATTAGGTACCGTACCGCCGGATACTCCGGAACTTTCCGATGATTGGTATTTCAGAGAAATTCGAATTCATGAACTCGGACCGGATTCTCGATAAACGGTCTGTACGGTCGTCACTGTCGCGTACATGATTTGTCACGACGCGTTACACCGGTGATTCAAATTTGAGACCGGACCGTCGCGCGATCGATACCGGCGATACCCACCATAGGTTGCTTGTGCTACAGATGCAAGCGTGTATACAGCATTACTCAACCAAGTCTGGTCCTGACACTTGGCCGGAGATTGATGGCCGTCAATTCAAGCATGTTGTCACCTTTGTCCAAACTCGAGGAGTTAAATCGGATCCTCGAATACACAAGAGACGTCTCGTAAATGCTGCTTCCTGGAGGCTGCTTGCCAGTTGCTCGCATACTTTTCGCCTTGGCCGCAGTCGCACGCGCGGCATGGCACGAGACGGGCCGCCCCGCTCCCTCAGTGGGGCATCCCTTGGAGCAGAGCGATGAATTTACGAATGTTCTTCTGCAACCTTGCGGACATCGCCACAAGTTGCGTCTTACAACATGCAGAAGAGACCATCGAGCACTATTGATAGTACTTCTAGCGTTTGGAATTCCGATGGCTCTTCGACCGTTTAGCGGCTTGCGAGGAACCGCTCCTCAACACGCTTTGTTGGCACGCCAACTTTTTGGCAGAGCGTTTTGAACATTTGCTAAAGGAAAACAAACTATTCTAATGCTAAATTACAAAATTATTGAGGGAGTGTAAGGAGGCCGGCCGTCCCCGCCTTGGCCATGCTGACCCCTCTCCCAAATTCTAGATATGTCATCTTCATTCATGGATCTGTGATAGTACAGGCATAGGTCTAACTCTAGGCTTGCCAAAAGGGTGTCGAGGAGTGACCGGTCCCCCTTGATGATTACTAGCGGCAAACGCAAGTGGTTGTTTGTCAATAGCATGCGAGTCCTTCCTCCAATATGACGTTGATTCCACTTTGGGTCTGATTGGAAACAACGGGGCTCCACGGAATCACAAAAAATGCCGCTCACGTGACTTAATTCCTCGATTTCAAGCTAGTCATTGGCGCTTTGCCAATCGAGCCGGAAACTATTAAGTATAAGCTGTTGCTCGGAATCAAACGCGAAACGAGTGGGCCGGATGATGATCATGTGGAGGTTTCATGTTGATCTATCACATATTGGCCATATCAACGTTGTGGATCACCTACAAAATACCGTGCAAAAATTTGTGGTGAAACGGTGGTAGATTACAATGTTTGCTTGTACTCAATTGTCACGACGGAGTGCCGATCCCTTTTGAGGAACTTAAGGTAGGGTAACCCGGCGGCTTCAACACCCCGCCCTATGATTGCCAACGAAGAGCGACGAACTGTGTCACAATGTAATTACGGTTAACGAATGTCACTCGATAGTTGAAGGAATGTTCCGAAGTATACAGCTTCTCCCGAGCAACTTGCCAGTTTTAGTCTAATCTAGTCAGTCTGTTGCTGAGTGCAATTAGTCTAGATTAGGTGACACTAAGAATGGCAGGTTGCTCGGGAGAGCGCTGTTATCAAGATTGAAAACGGACTCTTAGAGCCTAGTAGGGCTCCTAAAGCAGCATTCGGTTCAAGCTTTCATTAGCTTCAATCATCCCGAAACCAACTCGCCGCCCTTTTGAACTAGTCGAGACGGATATGTCACCGATCTCATATGAGTCGGAATAGGATCAACAACCGCTTGAGAATTCAGCATATCTTTTAAATGTTCATAAAGTCGTTAGCTCATCAATCGACGTTCTAGGGTCCTTCTGAAACGTCTACAAGCAATGCTTGCAATGTCGACGAAACAACTGCCTCAAAATCTGTGCCAAATGTCGTTTCAGTAGTAATCCTTAAGCTAGCTTCATCTCCGAAGCTCATGTCTCTCTTAATAATTGTCGCGGTTTGACCCTCCCTTCCGCAGAATGACACAGGTTCCACGGATGGCAAGGTCTGGTTTGACGGGTTTGGCGACGAGATACTTGACGTCGCACTCACATCTTGCATCTGTAGATTAAGTGTGCTTTCGTCAAGCATCTTGAGTGCCCCCTCCCCACCTCCTTCGGGAAGCGCACAATGGCTGTCCACTGTTGGAACGTGTTCCGCAGTTTCGCCCTCCTCCGGAGACCGCATTTGGCCTTCGGAGCCACCTCCCAGCGGGCTACTCCTGCAAGCCCAAGCGAGACTCCGCAACTGAGCCTATCGAGAATGATGTGAACAGAATATCAATGTCAAATCTTGCAAGGAGAAACGGAGCACGTCACGATCAATTGATCCTCGTTGTTACAGTCCTGACTGCAACATGTCCCCATGCTGTCTTTCTTCCTCGTGTAGGTTGTCGTGCCCACCTCATGCCGTCCTCGCTCTTCCCCGCGTCTGCTGCTCCCCCCGCCTCGTCTTGCTGACCCGCTGCTCCGGTCTGGTCACCTTCTACCGCCTGCGTCTCGGCAAACATGACTGACGCTTGAGTAGCCAGGAGTACTGACAATGAGAGCATGGATGAGGAAGGGCGCTGTACAGGGGGGCCTCGTAAGGCTATCAACCATTTTCCTCCTGACTCTGGTCGTGACATGACGTCGGATGTGCGTGGCACATTGCACTCAAAGCCAAAGAGACCTTTTCCAGAGAATATGTTTGGAGTACGGTCGAGCACTGTTGGGTCCGCGAGAAAGCCCGCAGCATGGACGGCGGCATCGTGCGGCTCACCGTCTCCTGTGGCGGGGGCGGGTGCGGAGCGGGCGTGGGGTTGCCCAAGGGTGCCTTGTTGCTCAGGTCCCGGCTGCCGCGGTTGGGGCTTCGGAGCAGCTCCATGCGCCTGCACAGCGGCGGTCAAGGGAGGCAACAAAGGGGGGGGGCGGAGCAGGGAACAGAGGAGCTTGCAAGCGGGGAACGCGGGGCAGCCGTGGTGCGAGACAGACATGCGCAACAAGGCAGCGCAAAGTCGCGCCGCGCGGGCATGGCGCCGGGGCGGGATACTGCTTGGTCAGCTGCGCGGTGGCGCTCATCTGGTCCGCCAGCACCTTGAGAGCAGCGCGCACGCGCAGCGCCTCGGCAGCGTCGACCTGAGGGCGGTAGCCCGCCGTGGGTGGGAGGGTGGGGGTGGGCGGCGAACGCGCGCGGACGAGGCCGGTGCAGAAGGGGTCGAGCGCGATGTCGAAGCCGAGCCAGGCCTGCACCGCGGGCTCGCTACACCAGCGCAAGGCCCGCGCAGCCGGGTCAGGGTCCGGCCGCGAGTAAGACAGGGGAGAGAAATGACGCCCGCTCAACAAGGAGGACGGGACGCGCGCAAGGCGTCCGAGTCAGGTCGGGGCGACAACACAGGTTGACCAGCAGAGAGGATGCGACTCAATCTCGATTCGCACGCAAAGCCGCTACTACACGCTAAGCGGGCCTCTCGTGCTCGCCACTTTATTTCCCGCTCATTCCACGCGTGCGGCGGCTCACTTGTGCAGCAGGTTGCCGAGGTCGGTGTTCATCTTGGCGAGGTAGTCCTGCCCCGCCCACACGAACGCCCGCTGGTGGCCCTGCTCCGCGCGCCACGCCGCCACCGCCTCCACCGCGTCCAGCGACGCGCCGCGCACCGCGTCCAGGCACGCGCCCAGCGCGCCCCTGCACGCACGCACCACCGCCGCACCAGTCACCACCGGAGACACCACCGCCGCGTGCGGCACAAGTGAAGCCAGCACACGCAGTGACGTCCCCAGCGAGCTTGATCCGGAGTTTGGGCCAGGCCTGGCAAGTCTAGTGGGCAGTGCGGCGCGGGGGGGCTGACCTGTGGGGCAGGGCGTCCGGCGCGGCCTTGGCAAGCAGCAGCGTGCGCAGCCGGCCCAGCAGCTCCTCGCGCCGCCGCACCGCCTTGAGCACCTGCACCGCAAGGCCCAGCCAGCAGTCAGCCCGTACCACGCGCAACAGAAGGCCAACACCGCGTCCGCTGAACGGCCGTCCTGCTTGCACGCCTCTCAGGCGGCCCCAGTGGCCGTAACAACGTTTCGAAGAGGAGGCTATCCAATGTATGGCGACCGAAGAGGACAATGACAGCTATTTCTCAAACCGGATCCGACAATCGTTTGGATTCTGCAATATTAACCTGGTATCTGTCGATTTGAGATTTGTGCGCATGCTCGTAAGACTTGTTTCAGAATCAAAACTCCTTGACCATGGTTGTTGCATCCAGTGTCCCCTCCGATCGCCAGCTTTCACGGACCTTCTTTTTCTTGAAACGACGGCGAACACTGTGACTGGATTCAGAGAGCAAACCGTGGTCACGTGAGAGGTTTCTTATCTGACAAAGATACGCCGAGGAATTGGTTAACCGAAATGGAGCATGCTCGCAGTTTGCGGACAAGGATTCGAACTTGGACTCGACGGCGGGCGTCAGGACCCTTGTGGACGGCCACGCCCGGCAGGCGGGGGAGGGCCGTGCGCGCACCTGCATTTCGGCGTCCTGGTCCAGGAGGCGCGGCGGCGAACGAGGACGCAGCCGACGAGACGTGCCGGGGCTGGCAGACCTGCAGCCACGAGGAGCGGTCAGGAGAGCGACCGCTGCAGGCACACAGAGCGGCTCAGCTGCGGACAGAGCGCGGGCGTGGGGGCAAGGCGGGCGGATGCGAGGGAGAGCAACGGGGCTAAAGTTTCGGCCCGCTGTTTTCATGTCGAGAGTCTGAAGCTACGAGGGAACGCTCACGTGGGGCTGCCCTTGACGTCCTTGGCGGGATGCGAGGGGGAGTGCGGGGCGTCGTCCGGCAGTGGGGACACCCGGGCAGTGCGCGCGTGGGGGCTGCCTGCGGGGGAGGTGCCCGGGGAGAGGTTCACCTTGGGGCTGGCGTTCCAGGGGGGGCGGCCGGGGGAGTCAGGAGAGGCGGCGCTGAGGGGGGCCGGGCCGGAGGGGGACCCCGAGGTGGGGGAGGCCGGCGGTGGGGGTGGAGGTCAGAATGGGGGCCAGCGAGGGCAGGCCCTTGCGCAGCGACTGCTTCTTGTCGTCCACATTAGCCGCGGTCGTCATGAGGGGGCTCCTGGCACAGGTCGCGCAGAGCGCAGGCGTGAGTGCCAGGTCGGAGACATGCAAAGGGCAGAGGGAAGCAACACCAGGTGCCGCAAGGGTAGGACTGCAGCAGGAGCCATACAGGCTGACAAGGCGTGAGGTCGCCGTGCCATTTCGAACGTGGAGGATACAAAGTCCGCCATGCCGTGCGGCAGGAGGGCCTACCGGGGGAGGGGCAGCAGCTGCGGCGCGACCTCGGCGTCCAGGCGGTGCGCAGGCAGGCGGCCGTACCTGCCACCCGAGACAGAGCAGGCACGCAGTGAGAGGAGCCGGCAAGGGGGCAACACGCGGGGAGGCTGCAGGGGAGCTGGAAAAGACACGGGGAAGATGAATCGTTGCTCAACAGTGAAGTACACGGCCCGGACCGGAGAAGCTCACTTCTTCAGGAAACTCCGTTCCCGCTGGGCCCGCTTCTTCTCCAAGTATGCCGACAGCTGGCGGCTGGCAGCCTGGGGCAGCGACGGAAACAGAACGCTGAGGGAGGGGTGGGGGCCAGGCAGCAGGAGGAGGGGCAAGGAGGACAGGGAGGCAGGCGCAATGGTGATGCAGGGCAGGCGGGGCAAAGGGGATGGAAGCATGCCGGCTTTGCAGACTACTCTTGGCACAAGTCTGTATCAGTCACTGGCAATGCGAAGGAAGTGATCTGTTGGCAACAAGAGAACATCAACCCGGAACGCATTGCTCACGTCATTCTTGAGGGTCTCCTTAATGGACTCCAGGAAAGCCGTCTTGACCGCTATGCGCTGCTCCAGCTTGTGCTGCAGGCGCAGCGGAGGGAAGGAAAGGTCGGTCGGAAGAAGACGGAGCATGTGCAAGCAAACGACCAACCAACACCGTAAAGGAAAGAGGCATAAGCACCCGTAGCCCAAGTTTGAAGGAGCTGGGGCTCAGTTCGGCCTAGCTGCCGCGGCGCAGGGGTGTGCGCGGGTGCCTGTGCAATGATACTGGGGGCGGGGCATGCGGGCGATGCCTCACCTTGTCCTCTTTCTGCCGCTCGGCCAGCCGCTGCCGGAGGAGCTGCAGCAGACAGAGGCAGGGGGTGGATGTGAAACTGTCCATCTAGAGGGAATGCGTAGCACACGCCGGACCCAGCACGGCAGATGCTCAAAGGAAAGCAGCACAAACCCGATCCCGAACCCATTGTGAGCAGCCCGTAGCTGCCTCATTCCCAGCCCTGCTAGAAGCAGAGACCCCTGGTCAAGGCTTACCCCTGGCGCATGCCGCAGTGGCCCTGACCACTGCAACAGAGCACTCAACAATGGCCACAAATGGCAGCCACAATTCAGCCTCAGTATCTCAGTTGCATGTTCACCTCTTTCTGATCGCCCCGCGTGATGACTGGCGCCACCTCCTTCCTGCCGCCCTGCCCCTTGCTGCCCTTCCCCGCCGCGCTCCTCCTTTTACCGCTGCCCGCTGGCTGCTGCCCCAGCTGCTGTTCCTCTTGGCGGAAGCTCCTGCGCGCCATCCTCTCCTCCAGGCTGCGCTTGCTGCCAATGCCCCACCGCGCCTTCTGCCCCGCCTTCGCAGCGTCCGCCCCTCTCTGCTGCTGCCGCCCAGCTCTCCCCTTGCCGGGGCTGCCCGTCCCTGCTGGCATGCCCACCCCCTCCCTGGACGGGGACTCTGGCCCTGCTGCTTCTGCCCCGGCAGGCAGGGCGGGGCCCCCAGGTTGCGCAGGCCAGGCGGCCACGTCGTCTGCCCCATTGAGGGTCTCCTGTGCACTTGCCGTGTGGCCATGAGCAGACTCCTCCTGCTCCTGCAGTGCTACCAGCCTCTCACGTGGATCCTGACATCAGGGAAAACGACGACGCTCAGAACCCACACCAGTGACCACCATCAATGTTACCAGCCCCAAAGTACGGCAGCTCATTTGAAGAGTCTTCGTCCCAGCTCCTGAGAGTCGAAGCTGAGCGCCTACTTTGGGCTGCGTTGCTGCAAAGCGTTGGCAAAGAATGGAGCTCAAGAGAGGCACTTCTGTGCTTGATGACTTGTGGTCCGTCTTATTGCACTCGCTGCTCCCCCTCACCTGGGCTTCGTTCTGGTCTCTGCCCCCTCCCTCGAGCTCCCCCTGTGCTCCCTCCGCTGTCTGCGGTGGGCCTGCAGCACCTTCTTGGCCGGCATCGCTCCCCCCAGCGGCCTCCTCTGCCAAAGGGGCAGTCTGTGGGTCAGAGTCAGAAGCAGGCGGCCCAACGCCTGGCCCGTCCTCAAGTGATGCTGCATCCATGTACTCGAGCCTGAGAGTACACTCTTAGCTTGCTCCCTGCAACTGTCTCTTACGTAAGCACACCAGCATGGAAGCAATCCATTGCATTGCTTCAATTGCGGGGCAACATCCGCTCGGTCCTGGGCGCAAGCGGCCTGGTTCTAGAACAAAATCCTTGGTGATGGTGTCACCAGATCAAGAGAATGTGCAGTAGATCTGTGACTGTAGATGATCGAACAGGCCACGGGATGATGCCGCATTCAAAACTCTCTTTGCAACATTCCGAGAAATCAAGCATCCGACCCTGTGTTGCAATGACAGTACCTAGAACCCTAAATTCTAATTGTCGAGCCTTGCAATGCACAATCAAGAAACGGGCACGCGGGTACGGTGAAATCGACGAGAAATTCATCAACACACGCGCTGGTGGGTATCGTACCAACGTCGTCGAAAGCCCAACCCTAATCTGAACCGTGTGTACTCGGGGTACTCATCAACGCTACATTTCTAGCACAGGCACTGCAGCCCAGTTGGCTGCGCAAATCATCACTCTTGCGCGTCCAATCAAAATCAGGTTAGGTACTGTGATCCGATCAAATGCTCAAATGCTCAAATGCTGTTATTATGAGTACACCCTGCGCATATAGCATGCCCGGGTAGGAACGTATGACATTGGAGATCGCGCCTCCTGCATCAAAGCGGTGTCAAAGGGCAATCAATCCGACAGCGCCCATGTGTGCCATGATGCAATCATCAACAATTGTAACATGCTGATGATCAGACTGTACCGTGCTATGCATCACATTCGCCATACAGCGGCCCAAGCCCCTTTCCATGCATCATTGCAGTTGGTCCCACGTTGGCCCGCAGTTGCAAGCACAAAGTCGTCTAGCTGCCTGACAACAGGTTTTGAGCTATTTCGTAAGAATGCAATAGAGCCGTTTTATTGCAAGAGTGCAGCTCAACATCGAAAGTTTTTTGGTTACGACAACTAAGGGATGTGAATGTTTTGTCACAGAGGTGTTTTTGCATTACACTCAGAGTCACTAACTGTCGGTCAAAGTACTGCAAGTCCGAGCATTGATCCAACTCGCCAACACGTTATGCTTGACAGCGGCCCAACTTGACAATACATACCGGAATAAATAAAGACATGATTCAGATGGAAGAAAAGAGGTCGAACATGCTCCTCTCCGATGCGTTCTCCTCCGCAACAATCTGCGACGAAATCAAGTCAGCATTTCAGTACAGCGGCATTCGACAGCCGTCATGCTAGTTTCATCGAAGGCCCACTCCGTTGAGGCCCCGTTGAGGCATGCAACAAAATGGACTTGACGGTGAAGCGACGACACCCGTTCCTTCATTTTGTGTCCCCTCATCCCAATGGCTGACCCACCTCGACAATCTTGTTGTCTGCCTGGGGCAGCACCAGCGCCGCCACGCACGCCTCTGCCACCTGGGCCCGGCTGACGGCCCCCCCGAACGTGGTGTCGGCCTGCCGGAAAACCACGTTGCCGCGCTGCACCACACCAACACCGCCCCAGTCAGCCAGCCTGCAACGTCCGCCGGGGCGTTTGTCGTCTCGACTGGAGCGTCAGGTCCGCCAATCAACAAGACTTCTCTTAAAGAACAGGGACTATTGCCGACATATTCCAAAACATGTGGGGGGTCTGACCTTGGCGGTGGCGGTGAGGCCGCCAGGGCGCACGATGGTGTAGGGCAGCCCGGAGCGCTGCAGCACCAGCTCCGCCTGCTTCTTCCACCAGAGCAGGCCGTAAAACAGGTTGAACGGGGACACCAGCTGCGACGTGCCGATCGACGTCACCTGCACACGCAAACGGCCCCCCGGTCACACGCTCAGCAGGCGGCCAATGCACAAGCACAGAGGAGCGGCCGTCGCAGAGAGGGAGGAGGGTACTAACGCGCAGACGCACGTGGTGACGAGCCTTGGGCGTTCTGCGTGGCGGGCTCACCAGCACAAACTTGTTGACGTCCTTGTTCTTGGCGAGCGCCACCAGGTTGACCACGCCCTCGTACTCGTACTGCACACAGACGTGCGAGCCAGGCGTGAGCAGCGAGCCGCAGAGCGCCGCACACACGCAGGCAGGCAGCATCAGCACGTCGAAATGGCCGCAAGTGCGTGTTCTCTTACTGTATCGTGCGGGCGGGGCGGGTAGAGGCCGCGGCATGATAGCCGATGGCCCAGACGCAGGCAACATCGGAGCCACTCCAACCCCGAGTAACGAAAGGGATGTCGACTGACCTTGAAGGGGCCCAGCGGGTCGAAGATGTCAGGCCGCACCCCCGTCGCGCACAGCACCACGTTACTGCAGCACAACCGGCACGAGATGATCAGGATGAAGTGGGGGTGGACTCAAGGATGGTAGAGACTGAGAAAAGGCGAATGCAGGCAGACAGCGATCGCCGAGAGTAGTTCGCCGGCCTCGCCAGCCACTCTCCCGCCTGCCTACCTGTCCCCGATGGCGCTCTGCAAGGTCTCATATCGGTATGTGTCGCCCTGCACCACGGTGACTCCTCGCATCGCCCGCAAGCTGCGCGCCTTGCTGGCGTCGCGCACCAGTGCACGCACAGGCACGCCCTTGCTGACCTGTACACCGCGCACATGCAGGGATCAGTGATGATGCCCGAAACAGGTTCTACGTGCATACCCGGCAAGGCCACAAGCTTTTTTGCGGCAAGAGGGTCAAGCGCCAGGGACGCTTTGCAGATTGTCTCGGCTCAGCGTCAGGCCAACACAGCTCCTTCCGAGCAACCTGGCAATCCTAGACAGATGGGGGAGCCCAGAAGTTATCCGAAGTTAGTCTCGCTGTTTGTGTTGCAGACTTGATCAACTTACTGTGATCATCTAACTTCTGGACTTCTAGCGTCTTCTCAACCGGCAGCTTGCTAAGAAAAGCGATAGTTCAATACCGCGCAACCTCACCAGGCTCTCGACCAGCAGTCGCCCCGTGCGGCCATTGGCTCCTGCCACGAGCGCCCTGACTCCGGTGTAGGGCCCACTCTTGGCCGGCTGGAAGGCAGGCTGCGGTGGGGGCGGGCTGTCCATGGTGGTGTCGGCTGGCACGGGGGCTCCCTCAATGGCCTCGCTCACAGCGCTGGTCACGCCCCGGCGCAGCTCGTCCGCTGCCTCGAAGCCCTCCCCCACCGCCGTCGTGATCGCCCCCACCACATCGCCGCTCTGCGCGCGTGTGCCCACGATGTCCATCACCCCACGCACGCGGCTCACGTAGCGCTCGTTCTCCTGCACACAAAAACACAGGGCAATCAGCGGCCATCAAGCTCCACACAACAACCACAATGGCTTGGGGGGCTATACCTCTTGCCACAATTTAAGGGTGTCTGGTGACGAGGACAAAGGGCTCGTTAGGCTATACTGAAGAGCCAGTAGAAGGTTTCAGCTGCAAAAGACAGTGCGCCCACATGGTGTGGCGCAACAAGTGAGCCTTGTTCGTACCAGGCAAGGGCCCATTGCAAACAATCGCTTATGCCCTGGCAGGGGGTCTATTGTAGTGGGGGGCAGCCACCACAGGGTGAGCCCATTATGGGGCACAGAATAACTGCAGACCGGCCTGCCCAGAGTGGACAAAGCGGCAAGGAGAACAGGTGATTGTCAAAAGTTGCGGGGAGAACTTCTAGACAACGCTGATGTGATATTTGGCCTCCTTTTGCGTGCAGGTGCTGCTGAATGCTTGCAATATTCTTGAGCTCTCCAAGTACTCTCCTCAGAGCTGGTCAACCAGCACTCCCTCTCGGCTGCTAGGCCTCTTCTGAGTGCGGCCAGCTCAGATTGGCACCTCTTTGCAGTTCTGGCCCATCTCCGTATCCACTGGCCTCAGATACTGTGATCAAACAGCCACAGATTGCCAGCGGCCCCACCCCACGCCCTCTCAGACACTTGGGATTGACAATGCGTGATCGCGCCACCCCCTGCATACCTCTGAGATTTTGCGGCCTGCTCTCTCTGCCCTGGCCGCCACGCTGCGCCCCTCCACCTCCAGGGTGCGCTGCACACTGTCTGCACCGTCCTGCGCCGCCTCCAGGGTGTCCTCCGCAAACTCCTGCGGCAAGGCGGGAGAGGGTCAACAGACTACCAATGAGAGCAACACCTGGCATCTTGGCTGGCAAAACACCCAGCTGCTTCATGCAGACGAGCAGGGCGCCTTTCTTGGAGGACAATGCAGCGCTCGCCCACGGATCATAAAATTGGAACTTTTAACTGGGAATTGAAAGACGCCCTTGATCATAAGCACCGTGGATCGAACAAGCAAGCCCTAAGGTGGAGCTACTTGTGAGAGACTTGCTTCAAGCTGTAGCTAGACCACCAGATCTACCCCTGCTGTTGGCCAGCGTAAATCCCAGAAGCTTTCTTGCTAGGATTGTATGCAGGCAGGCTAGCCTGGCTTGCTCCCCCTGCCCATACCTGTGCGTCCTCCAGCGTGCTCTGCGCCTGCTCCCCCACCTCCCCTGCCGCATCCCCCAGTGCCTCCGCTGCGTCCCCCGCTGCGTCTGCCACGCTGTCCCCCACCTTCTCCGCCTGCTCC